GGAGCATACTTGCTTTGTCTTCCGCTCAGAGTCGTATGTGCATGCTCACATTTGTGCACATGTCAAGTACAAAAAGGCTTAGCCCAGACTTGTTCGTCGGGTGTTAAGACGAAAACTGCGAACAGAAGGGTTGCATTCTGGATTGTAGAAAGATGCTCCCTGGTGAAATATAATGAAATATAAATAAATATCTTTCAATATCTTTCATACAGGAATGGAGCTTCAAAATGTGCTGAAACATAATCCAAACGGGTGTGCAGAATCCAGCATTCTTGCTGCAACATCTCCATGTGTCCTGTGTCTATCCGCCCGCATCTTTTCCAAGTTTCACTCCCGCTGCCATCAGCGTCTGCTTCAGGTGACGACCCAAGAAGTGGCTGCCATCACCACCGCCGCCTTGAAGCTAAAGGGCGATGACCAAGGTGCAGTTACCAACCCCAGCTACCCTCTGGTAAACTAACAGTTTGCTATTGAAAATGGCCATAGAAATAGTTGATTTACCATGATTTACCTATGAAAAATGGTGATTTTCCATACTTATGTAAACGTTTACCAGAGGGTACACCATTGGGGAAAGGTTGTGGCAGTTGATGTGGAAAAGATGCGAACCTTGGCCACGGACACATGTCAAACATCTCAATGAACAGTACACTCACCAAGTCAGCCATTTAGTGACGTCAACCATAGGAGAAACTGGTTGGTGGCTTCAAACGTTTTTGGTTTTTCCATAATATATGGAATAATCCTTCCCATTGACTTTCATATTTTTCAAGGTAGTTAAAACCACCAACCATAGGAGAAATGTTTGGGTCCCTTTTTAAGTCGCGAGGACATGGATTCGTTAGATCAGAGTGACAGCCAAACACTGATGGCAGCGGGAAGCCCTCGCTCTAGGCCTTTCATTTGCTATAGCCACATATGGCGACTGATTCGAATCAACATGTTTTTCCCAGCGTGGCATGGCCAGGTACCTATGTTAGAGCTACATCAGATTTGATATGTGTCGTATATGTATTGGATATATAGTTATAAGAATCTAAATAGTGAGAGAGAGAGATAGAGAAATGTCTAAACTCATGTTTTCATGGCCTGTCCGCCAAAAGTTGTCATGGTTGAATCATAGACTTGCTTCTGTCTCTGCAAGCTTCGCCAACTTCAGGTTTCTTCCCGCCAGTTTTGCACTTCTGCAGATAAACGTATATGCCAGTATATGCACGTTTACAGACGATTACACATTTCCCACATCCCTTTTTTGCCGCAGGTGCAGCAGTCGCAGCCAAGGCCCTGGTCTCTGAGGTCGCAGCAGGGGATGGCTCGAATGGCTGCCGGTTGCGAGTCTTTTGGTGGCCACGGTTTCGGTTGCCCCCCAAGGTAGCCCGCGATGTTCCTAGAATGACATTTGCTAATTTGATCATAGTTGATCTAATTTGCTGGGTTTTGATGAGCCCTTATTAGGATTCGACCGAGACCATCTCACACAACACAAGTAAGCACGGGGCCATGCGTGTATGTTTCGCTTGTACATAAAGTTCGTATACATTGGATTGGTGGTATCCACATAGCTGACCATTGATTGGTTGTCCATCTACTTGTTGTGGACACCTAGCATCTTCAGCAAACAAACACCTTCTCGATTCTAGATTGTATTTGAAATGGTTTCGGGCAATAGTTGATCCAGCCGCCGCTCGCAGGCACGCTCTCGTTGGATTCAGGAGGGCGGCGACGTGGATGACATCACAGCGGTGCTTGGGCACAGGATTTGTGCCCCCTGAGTTGTTGGCTGGGAATTCTTGATTTCAACCCCTTCCTTAGAACCATTTACAGGCCACACATGAAGATACCCAAATGGGGGACTGAAAATTGCCGCTGTTTTTGATTTTTCCCGCCATAATTTCTCAAGTGAGATGACTAGGGCCACTTCCCGAGAGATAGGACGGTCGAAAAGAAAAATCGAATACAAGTTTCGCTCCAAAGGGATATTCAGATTTTATCAGATTTTCAATTTGGGTTTCAGCAGTTTCTGGGACCTAGTTCATGGACGTAGCAATTTTGGGCCAAGGGCCTCATTCTCAAAGAGACCTTCCCTGTGGAGATTTCTCTCTTAGAGGTCTTATCCCTTTGGTGATTCTGGTTTGTACAGCCAAACTGTTTTTCTTTGTTTTCTCTTTTTCTTGGTTAATGACAGTTTGAATCAGTTCCATGTCCCAGCTGGGGTGCAAGGATCACTTGCCACCTGGCCCTCGTAGCTGAGGTGGTGGTGCATTTGAGCCAGGAAACCATGCCTGAGCTGGCGTCTGGTGCGTAAGTCGCAGAAAGGTCCCATTGGCCAACCCGGTGTGCCAGGATTCAAATATCATCCTTCTTTGGATGATGATATGTGAGGATCCAAAATTTGCGGTTTTCAACTAGACGTGTTGAAACCACCACAAATGTAGAAGACATGATTGAGATTCGTTTGGGCTCCACAAGTAGTATAATTAGCGTAAGGTGCTGTACAAGAACCAGTTCTCGAAGGCTTGGGAAATCCTTTGTTTAAGATAGAATCGCCTCTGTTTACACTGCAAGCAGTTGCTAATTAATTAGTTGCTGCTTCGAAGTTGAACAATGGATGCCTTTGGGCATGACGCCCTGTAACCTTGAATTTTGCGGCGAGCTGAATGCCTGGAGGTCCTCCAGGAACTCTTGAAGCCAAGTGACAGGGATGGGCTTCGCGTGTCTAGTAGGATTTCACCTCGTCAAGCCCATCCTTGGTATTCATGTCTTGGTCAAACAAAAACGCCCTCTGTGGTGGGTGTGTCCCAGCGCTATGCATCGCCATGCCATTTGTTTTGGTTGGCAAAACACGTAAGAGAATCACGTGAAACTAAACCATTTCAGTGTTTCCCTTGTCGTGAGTTGACACATGTTGATGCCACAAAACTTCGCAGCTTCCTAGATAGTTGAATTGAATCCCCCAATTTTGGGACAGACCCAAGTTGCCAATGTAGTACCCTCACCGCACATCCTGCCATGGGATGGAAAACCAAGAGTGAAGGGGTGTCTGCCGAAAGTGCCTCTCCAAGAATTCGGACATGCGTCAGAGTCTTTGTTCTCATCTCTTTTGGAGGTTCTGTTGAGGAAGGGAGGTGTATTTTGCAGACCTCAATGGCCAGAAACAACCGTATCCACATGGCTGCTTTGTAGGTATACTACTCAGATAGCAATTCCGCTTAGTACCTGGAAAAAGTTCGATGATCATGGCTCCCTTAACAGGGGTTACTCGGAAAATACGTCGGCTTGGAACCACGGGCATGAACCAGACATGGCCAGACACAAACGAAGTTGGTTAATACCCATGGTTTCAAGCCATGGTATTTTCCGAATAACCCTTATCAAGGAACCCATGATCATCGAACTTGTTCCAGGTACTAACCGGGTTTGTTGGGTACACCCTCTAACCATTATTGATGTGGGTTGGAATCTGAACTTGTGGTGGTTCTGAAAAACTTGCTACTTGTAACCAGGATGCGCAAAGTATAATATGTGATCCCCACACGCCAACAACTTTCTCACTTACCTCAGTTGCACATCTCCTATTTAGGCTGGGTCACATCATATTTCCCCACCTGCCAGGTGAGGGTTGTTAGATTTTATGTCAGTTGCCTCCTCCTCCTCCTGCTCCTCCTGCTCCTCCTCCTCCTCCTGCTCCTCCTCCTTCTCCTCCTCCGCCTCCTCCTGCCTCGTCCTCCTCCTCCTCGTCCTCCTTGTCATCCTTGTCGTCCTTGCTCAACTGCGACCCGCGATCCACAGTGTTCTCTGCCGGACCTCAACCACGACCACCCACGCCCAGTGTTCCCTGCCGGACCTCAACCACGACCATCCACGCCCAGTGTTCCCTGCCGGACCTCAACCACGACCATCCACGCCCAGTGTTCCCTGCCGGACCTCAACCACGATCATCCCCGCCCAGTGTTCCTGCCGGACCTCAACCACGACCATCCACGCCCAGTGTTCCCTGCCGGACCTCAACCGCGAGTATCCACGCCAAGTGTTCCCTGCCGGACCTCATGTAGGAAGATATGGGACAAAGAATGTGCAGAAGAAAGTTAGAAAGAAGTGTCAGAAAGAATGCCAGAGAAGAATGCCAGAAGATATGCCAGAAGATATGCCAGATAGAATGCCAGATAATATGCCAGAAGATATGCCAGATAGAATGCCAGATAGAATGCCAGAAGAATTGCCAGATAGAATGCCAGAAAATATGCCAGAAGATATGCCAGATAGATATGTCAGAAGATATGCCAGAAGATATGCCAGAAGATATGCCAGAAGATATGTCAGAATATATGCCAGAAGATATGTCAGATAGAATGCCAGAAGATATGTCAGAAGATATGCCAGAAGATATGCCAGATAGAATGCCAGAAGATATGTCAGAATATATGCCAGAAGATATGCCAGATAGAATGCCAGATTGAATGCCAGAAGATATGTCAGATAGAGTGCCAGAAGATATGCCAGATAGAATGCCAGAAGATTTGCCAGATAGAATGCCAGAAGAAATGCCAGAAGATATGCCAGATCATATGCCAGAAGATATGCCAGATAGAATGCCAAATAGAATGTCAGAAGATATGTCAGATAGAATGCCAGAAGATTTGCCAGTAAGAAAATGTATAAATGTCATGGTGGGGATCACACGAAGTAAAGTATTTTTTTTACATTTTTTGTGGGGCACTAGCTTTGATGCTTCGGTTCAAACAATCACCACGTTGACGAAGATGTTTGCAATCATATAATTGCAGAAGAGGATTTTTGTTCGTTACTTCTGTTTCTTGGAGCCGCTTCTTACTTAAATTTAAATTTATTTCGGTGACTTCTACACAGATCTACAAAATACGCGTCGGCCCCGTATCTCACCATTTGTCCGCGGGTCATGGGTTGGTATGTCACCTTCCTTCTCTTGCCTTGGCTCAACAACTGGTGCTTGTTGGCCAAGTGGTTCAGCAAGGCTGCCAAGGGTTGGCTGGGCTGATGCACCGCTTTGCTCACAGACGAAGGTCCGTTGCGACTTGTCTGTGGTGTGGCAGTGGTGTTCGTTCCTGTAATGTAATGTAATGTAATGTAATGTAATGTATAGACCATGGGTAAAATCTTGATGAAACTCATAGAAAGGTACAACCGGGTTGTTGCAGAGCAAAAATGGTAGATTGCTTATCACAAGAAAACCATCATACTGACGGACACCGAGTTAGAACCTCAAAAATTTTCCAAAATTTGGTCGACTCACAGTTAGAACCCCAAAAATCATCACACTTAGAACCTTGGTTTGCAAAAGGTTCTGACTCAGGGGGTAACACCAACCAACTATGAGAACCGCATCATTTTCCTGCACGCATCAAATCTTGTCATTTCAACTTGGCCGCTCTGTTGCGGCAATGCTTGCAAACTCTAATCGCCATTCACTTTGGACAAAATGCTCAGCGTGAGATTCAAAAAAAATGGAAAAATCAAATTGTATGTCTTAAACTAAATTTAACACACACACAAATATATATATATAAATAATTTAAAGATAGGTTGTTGGATATATAAAGAGATTTGTCCCGACCCATGGTCCTGGCCAGAGGTTCTTGGTGTGAGCACTTAAAAGGGGCGCACACACACACACGCACATGTGAGTTTGCTCAACACGGGTTCATATACTGAACTATCTCTGATACGGTTTGTTGTATACTTGTGAATATATGTAAAAAGGTTCTAAGTGTGAGCACGCGCAAGGGCACAGACATATGTGAGTTTGCACAACATGGGTTCATATACAAGACTATCTGTGATATGATATATGTATACTTGTGAGCATGTGTGTGTGTATGCAAAGAGGCTCTAAGTGTGAGCACTCGCAAGGGCACAAACATATGTGAGTTCGCACAACAAGGGTTCATATACAAAACTAATCATGATACGAAATATGTATAGTAATACTTGTCAATATATGTATACAAAGAGGTTCTAAGTGTGAGCACCCGCAATGGCACGTACAAGTGTGAGATTGCACAGCACGGGTTGAAATACAAACATATCTGTGATGGAATATAAGTATACTTGTGACATATGTATGTATGCAAAGAGGTTCTAAGTGTGAGCACGGGCAAGGGCACAGACATATGTGAGTTCGCACAACATGGGCTCATATACAAATGAATCTGTGATGTGATTTATGTAGTCTTGTAAGTACATGCATGTATACAAAGAGGTTCTCAGTGTGAGCACTCGCAAGGGCACAAACAAGTGTGAGAGTGCACAGCACGGGTTGATATACCAACGTATCCGTGATATGATTCTTGATATATGTATACTTGTGAGTATATGTATGTATACAATGACGTTCTAGGTGTGAGCACTCGCAAGGGTGCAAACATATGTCAGCTTGCACAACATGGGTTCATATACAAAAGTATCTGTGATGGAATATATGTATACTTGTGAGCACATGTATGTATGCAAAGAGGTTCTAAGTGCGAGCACTCGCAGGGGCACAGACATATGTGAGTTCGCACAACATGGGTTCACATATAAAAGTATTTGTGATATGATATATGTATATTTCTGAGTATATGCATGTATACAAAGAGGTTCTAACTGTGAGCACTCGCAAGGGCACAAACATATGTGAGTTCGCACAACAAGGGTTCATATACAAAACTATTCATGATACGAAATATGTATACTAATACTTGTGAATATCTGTATGCAAAGAGGTTCTAAGCGTGAGCACTCGCAAGGGCACAAACAAGTGTGAGAGCGCACAGCACGGGTTGATATACCAACGTATCCGTGATATGATTCTTGATATATGTATACTTGTGAGTATATGTCTGTATACAATAATGTTCTAGGTGTGAGCACTCGCAAGGGTACAAACATATGTCAGCTTGCACAACATGGGTTCATATACAAAAGTATCTGTGATGGAATATATGTATACTTGCGAGCACTGGCAAGGGCACAAACATATATGTGAGTTCGCACAACGTGGGTTCATATACAAAACGATACATGATACGATGTATGTATACTAATACTTTTGAATATCTGTATGCAAAGAGGTTCTAAGTGTGAGCACTCGCAAGGGCACAAACAAGTGTGAGAGTGAACAGCACGGGTTGATATACCAACGTATCCGTGATATGATTCTTGATATATGTATACTTGTGAGTATATGTATATGTATACAGTGACGTTCTAAGTGCGAGCACTCGCAAGGGCACAGACATATGTGAGTTCGCACAACATGGGTTCACATTTAAAAGTATCTGTAATATAAAATATGTATATTTGTGAGTATATCTATGTATACAAAGAGGTTCTAACTGTGAGCACTCGCAGGGGCACAGACATATGTGAGTTCGCACAACATGGGTTCACATATAAAAGTATTTGTGATATGATATATGTATACTTCTGAACATATGCATGTATACAATGAGGTTCTAACTGTGAGCACTCGCAAGGGCACAGACATATGTGAGTTCGCACAACATGGGTTCACATATAAAAGTATCTGTAGTATAAAATATGTATATTTGTGAGTATATCTATGTATACAAAGAGGTTCTAACTGTGAGCACTCGCAAGGGCGCAGACATATGTGAGTTCGCACTGTTCGCACAACACGGAGTCATACACAAAAGTATCTGTAATATGAAAAATGTATATTTGTGAGCATATGTATGTATTCAAAGAGGTTCTAACTGTGAGCACTCGCAAGGGCACAGACATATGTGAGTTCGCACAACACGGAGTCATACACAAAAGTATTTGTAATATGAAATATGTATATTTGTGAGTATATCTATATATATGTATGTATACAAAGAGGTTCTAAGTGTGAGCACTCGCCTCAAAGTGTGCACTGGCAAGGGCAGTGACATATGTGATTTGGCACAACTTGAGTTCATATACAAAAGTATTTATCATACGATATGATATATGTATACTTGTGGATATGTGTATGCACCTGGAGAACCAAAACCCTAAGAATTCTTCGGGTCAACGCAAGAACCTGAGGTATTTCGGAAAAAATAAGAAAACCTCGGTTTTCGATTGAAGACCTCGGGTATTGATTTTGAACCCGTACTTAACCCGTACCTAACCCGTACCTAACCCGTACTTAACCCGTACTAACCCGTACCTAACCCGTACTTTCAAAATGGGTTTAAATACCCCGGGTTTTGTCAGAAAAGCTCAGGTATTTTTCAAACCCTAAGATTTCTGCGGGTTTTGTTTTTCATGGTGTATACAAAGAGGTTCTAAGTGTGTGGGTTCGCGAGGGCAGAGACATATGTGAGTTTGCACAACATCGGTTCATACACAAGAGTAGCGATAATATTATACATGATTATACAAGTATACTTGTGAATATATGTATGCTTACAAGGGGTTCTAACTGTGAGTGTGTACAAGGGCAGGAGCATATGTGGTATATGAAATGTGGGGTTCTAACTGCGGTTAATTTTAGCGCTTCTAACTCATATGAGTAAGAACCCGGCCAGATGTACGAAGTCCGTTTTTTTTTCCAAAATAGGTTCTAACTCGGTGTTCCGTTTTTTCCGGAGCCCCAAATCATTGGAAAAACACAGTGTTTCGCGACTTTCCTACCTTTTCTCGCATCTGCATCTTCTTTCTTCTTACTCTTTCTCTTCTACTCTTCTTTCTTCTAATCTTTCTCTTCTCTCTGCCTCTTCCCTGCTCTGCTTTTCATCTGTCCATATTGTCGGAAGTTTGACTTCTAAACTTCCTTCGATCATAAGACTGTTATACGACTGAGTTTTTACAGAGAAAAAATGGTGGACAGCTTACCACTAGAAGACTATTAGGCATATCCCAAGTTTGTTCATGTTGCTTTGGTCAAAAGTGGGGCCGGGTCAGGACTTTGTTGCGACCTCACCTGCTGGTCATCCGAATGATGGCAAGCATTGGAGGTATTCTCCCGAAAACAGGAACAATCAGGTTTGCTTACAGTAAATAATTTGCCCAGATTGCAAGTAGTTGTTTCCTAAATATCAAGTGATTTTCCCATTTTGAAGTGAGGGTCAATGCTATTTCTGTCCAGGTCATAGCACATTTCTCTGGGGAAGTCCATGTGCCATGTCCGTGAAAGCAGTGAAATCGAGCGGATTTGGTTGGGCCCATTTTCATCATTTCCCATGGTTGGGCTCAGCTCCATGCGCAGAGGTTCCCAAGATGAACCCACACTGATAAGCAAGCATGAATTATTCATGCATATTCATGCAAATAAATAGCCTGTGAGGCAAAGGTTTTCACTGGTAGTTGGCGATGCATTTTCATGTTTAAGATCGTTCAGTAAATTTTCTAATCATGTTCATTGACTTATATCACGAGCTTGTTGACTATGGTCATCTATGTTCTGGTGTTTTTTGACAAATTCTAAATCCAATTCGCCCACGAATCCCCCGTGATCTTTTGGTACATCCTGCTGAGAACTAGCAGCTGCATCTCATGGGACAGGTCCCAAAATGCCTTGCGGTTCCTGAGGCCGAAGAAAAGGTGGCAGAGGTGAGGGACTCAGACGGATGGCGTCCGTTGCGACTTGTCTGTGGTGTGGCAGTGGTGTTCGTTCCTGTAATGTAATGTAATGTAATGTAATGTATAGACCATGGGTAAAATTTTGATGAAACTCATAGAAAGGTACAACCGGGTTGTTGCAGAGCAAAAATGGTGGATTGCTTATCACAAGAAAACCATCTGACATATCCCAAGTTACTTTTTTCAAGGAGTAGCATTGTAATAGCGGAATATTACCAATTGGGGCTATCCCCCCTCATTGATAGGCCAGGGTTTATCAATCCAGGGTTGACCTTAAAACCAAAAAATCACTTAGAACGGGATGTAGCAGCAGCAAGTTTGGCTGCATTAATCCCTGGCCCCTGAGGATTGAGCCAGCGATTCACCAGATGAATCAACACCTCGGCAGATGAGTTATGAGAGTTGGTGACGGATGACGGACCTATCGTCGTGGCATGATGTAGATATAGAACTGATATGAACTGATAATCTGATATAGGTAGATTGTAAATGGGATCGGATCCCGAAGCACACTGGCAGCTGCTCCCAAGACACCTTCAAACAAGCAAAGCGGTCGTTTTCCTCGACCACGCGGCGCAAAAGTCAACAGGTGACTTCCAAAGGCAGCTGGATTGCACGGCAAAGGCCTCAAGGCCACAAGTAAGCACCCTGGCTTCTAAGAAGCGTCCTCGCTCCACTTCAAATGGCTTCAGCACACGTGAATCCCTGCCCGCCCACCTCTGGCACTCCTGAGCCTATGTGCTGGTGAACGATCATGTGATTTCCCTGAAGTGGAATGAGGAATGCTCGGCAGGATGGAATGTCTGACCACTGATTGATTCAACGAGATGGAATCACAGTAGGTATGTAATTCTAAATATATACATATCTATCTATCTATCTATCTATCTGTCTATCTATCTATCTGTCTGTCTATCTATCTATCTATCTATCTATATATATATATATATACGGTAACAACATTTAAATATGTGGAGGGCGGGCCCGACCGAGAGGCCCCAGAGGTAGTATGAAATACCATTTTGTATCTTTAAACGTAGCTACCGTATGTTTAATTGAATTTGTTTCCGTATGTTTAACTGGCCGGGCGGACCAAGGAAAACTTTCCCAGAGGTAGTCTAAAATACCTGTTTGTATATTTACAAAATCCGTATGTTTAAATGTAGTTACCGCATATCTATATATATATGTGCGTATATATATATATTTTTTGCAGATAAGCACATATTGTTTGCATAAGTATGACAGGTATGGGTTGGTATAGTATGGATTCTTCTCATGTGTGTGGCTGCTTTCTTGCGTGTTCCTTACGTGGGAGAGGAACAGTCCCCACTGCAAATGAATGTTGACGCCTGGTGGAATTCTGCCGTGGTTAGCAAACGTCCCATGTTTTGGATTTTAAGCAGGGTCTTGACATGTTTGTTCAAGATGATATCTTCCATCGTTGGCCTTTGTTTTGATAGGATAGTTCCAGCCTCGTTTCTGTTGGTGCTCTATGGTTTGCAGTGACAATTCCCTCTGTTTATTTCGAATGGGTAATACATCTACACATCAGGGATTGTCCACTATCATTGATGTTTGTTTACAACAAGGTAACCCAATCATGAGGCGTGCTCATTTCCACATCACCCTGGATTAACATTCATCCAAGATTTACGTCAACCATCACATGCCAATGATTAATTACTTTATTGACAGATAAACGTGGAACCCCAAGGGTGAGATCTGGATGTCTGGATGATGTAAGTTCTAGACCTGCTGCAAATCACAATTGGGTTTCTTCGTTGTTTTCAGATGCTGCATGCCCACTATGCTGTGGTTTCATATCCCCACCAAAATCAGCCTTGGATGGGCAGTTTATTAAACTGGTCACTGTTGGTGGGTGCCTGGCAGAGTCCATTTGAACCCCTTAGACTATGTTGGATTTGCCATGCATGTATGCCTATTTTATCTTATTTCATGTATTTTTTTTATATGCAGCTGACTGAGGGCTGAAGGCCCAAGAGTTTGTGTTTTTTGCCAAACACGAGGTAGATATTCCTTGGTGTTTTGCTACAAGATTAGTTGGAGTGACAGTTTCCATCCCAATCCTGTGGATGTGAGCTGGCAAATTCCCATGGCATATGCCATCCAAATAATTCACCAAATACTACGTGGATCCCCTGGGCGCGCCTTGGTTGACCCATTGCCAGCCCTGCGAATCCTGAGGCCTATCAGGCGCTGGCAACAGTGAGGGGACTCAGACGGGCTAAAAACCACGGTTTTTGATGTGCCAGTGGTGTTCTTTTGGGAATATGCCAATCCAATCATTCATCTGGTTGGTGGTTTCAAACATGACTTTTATTTTCCATAATATATGGGGTAATCCTTCCCATTGACTTTCATATTTTTCATGATGGTTGAAACCACCAGCCAGTCATGCAAAGACTTAGTTTTCACTGGTAGTTGGCGATGTGTCTTTATGTTCTGTCATGTGTCCTGACTGACAAAGCATTTTGTTCACAATGAGCCCATGCATCCCCCGTGATCTTTTGGTACATCCTGCTGAGAACTAGACGTCCACTGCGAATTGTTTGTGGTGTGGCAGTGGTGTTCTTTCCTGTCATGTAAAGACCATGAGTAAATTTTGATGAAATTAATAAACATGTCGTACAACCGGGTTTTTACAGAGCAAACATGGTGGACGGCTTGCAACCAGAAAACCATCAGACAGATCCCAAGTTACTTTTTTCAAGGAGTAGCGTTGTAATAGCGGAATATTACCAATTGGGGCTATCCCCCCTAATTGATAGGCCAGGGTTTATCAATCCAGGGTTGACCTTAAAACCAAAAAATCACTTAGAACGGGATGTAGCAGCAGCAAGTTTGGCTGCATTAATCCCTGGCCCCTGAGGATTGAGCCAGCGATTCACCAGATGAATCAGCACCTCGGCAGATGAGTTATGAGAGTTGGTGATGGATGACGGACCTATCGTCGTGGCATGATGTAGATATAGAACTGATATGAACTGATAATCTGATATAGGTAGATATATATATATGTATATATATATATATTTATTTATTTACATATATGCAGATAAGCATGTATTGTTTGCATAGGTATTGCAGGTATTGTTTGGTATAGTTTGGATTCTTCTCATGTGTGTGGTTGCTTTCTTGCGTGTTCCTTACGTAGTCCCTACGTGGGAAAGGAACAGTCTCCACTACGAATGAGTGTTGACCCCTGGTGGAATTCTGTCGTGGTTACCCGCTGGTAAACTAACAGTTTGCCATTGAAAATGGCCATTTATAGTGGATTTATGATTAACAGCATGGTGATTTTCCATAGGTATGTTAGTTTACCAGAAGGTAGCCAACGTCCCATGTTTTGGATTTTAAGCAGGGTCTTGACATGTTTGTTCAAGATGATATCTTCCATCGTTGGCCTTTGTTTTGATAGGATAGTTCCAGCCTCGTTTCTGTTGGTGCTCTATGGTTTGCAGTGACAATTCCCTCTGTTTATTTCGAATGGGTAATACATCTACACATCAGGGGATTGTCCACTATCATGTTTGTTTACAACAAGGTAACCCAATCATAAGCACATCACCCTGGATTAACATTCATCCAAGATTTACGTCAACCATCACATGACCATGATTAATTACTTTATTGAAAGATAAACATGGAACCCCAAGGATGAGATCTGTACAATTTGGTTCTTTGTTGATTTTTCTTGGTGCTCATCCAACGGTCATGCCCACGATGTTTGTTTTCTTATCACATCCTAGATCATCCTGGCACATGAGCAAGTCAGCTCTGGATGGGTGTTTAAACTGATCACTCTTGTTGGGTGCCAGGGAGATTCCACATGAACCCCTCTAAATATTGTGGATTTGCCATTCATGCCTATTTATCCATATCCACACCCCCAGAGCTTCTCACTGTTCATGCCAACGCAAAGTAACGAGATATTCCTTCGTGTTTTTTCCCCACCTGCCAGATGAGGGTTGTTTGATTTTATCAGAGCTGTTCTCCTCCTCCTCCTCCTCCTCTGCCTCCTCCGCCTCCATTGCCTCCTCCGCCTCCTCACCCGCCGCCTCCTCCTCGCAGTCCAGATCCCAGTGGGCACAACCGGACCTCCACCGCGAGCTCCAGATCCAAGTGGGCACTGCCGGACCTCAACCGCGAGTTGCAGATCGCAGTGGGCACTGCCGGACCTCAACCGCGACTTCCAGGTCGCAGTGGGCACTGCCGGACCTCAACCGCGACTTCCAGGTCGCAGTGGGCACTGCCGGACCTCAACCGCAAGCTCCAGATCCCAGTGGGCACTGCCGGACCTCAACCGCGAGCTCCAGATTGCAGTCGGCACTGCCGGACCTCAACCGCGCCTTCCAGATCGCAGTGGGCACTGTCGGACCTCAACGGGAAGAATGCCAGAAAAGATGTCAAATAGAATATCAGAAGATATGCCAGATAGAATGCCAGAAAGAATGTCAGAAAGAATGTCAGAAGATATGCCAGCCAGAATGTCAGAAGATATGCCAGAAAGAATGTCACATAGAATGCCAGATAGAATGCCAGAAGATATGTCAGAATATATGCCAGATAGAATGCCAAATAGAATGCCAGATAGAATGCCAGAAGATATGTCAGAATATATGCCAGAAGATATGCCAGATAAAATGCCAGAAGATATGCCAGATAGAATGCCAGAAGATATGCCAGATAGAATGCCAGAAGGTATGCCAGATAAAGTGCCAGATAGAATGCCAAAAGATTTGCCAGATAGAATGCCAGATTGAATGCCAGAAGATATGCCAGAACATATGCCAGAAGATATGCCAGATAGAATGCCAAATAGAATGTCAGAAGATATGTCAGATAGAATGCCAGAAGATTTGCCAGTAAGAAAATGTATAAATGTCATGGTGGGGATCACACGAAGTAAAGTAATATCTCTGATCTAAAAGGTTTGGTTGGACTTTCTCAAGATCCCACAGCTCTTTCATCCCACTCCTGTGAATATGTCATCCCAATAACTCGAACAAATTCTCCTTGCCACAAGTTTCACTGGACATTAATTATATCCCCCTGTGCTGTTTGAGTAAATCGCAAATCTTCCCTCATGAATCCCCTTGCCTTGGTTTGGTAGAACACCCTGCTGATAATTCGGAATAATCGGCCGCCTCTCACCCTGACCTGTCCCCAGAAAACCTACGAATTCTGAGCCTGTCAAGCGCTGGCATCGGTGAGGGGACTCAGACAGATGGCATCCGTTACGAATTACTTTTGGTTTGCCAACCGTGTTCGTCCCTGTAATGCATAGACCATTCTTTGGGTAGATTATGTTGAGTTCCAATGTAGGAATGTTGTACGACTGGGTTTTTTACAGAGCAAAAGTGGTGGATAGTACCAAAACTAAATCATGTTGAAATCCCAAGCTTGTTCATGTCTCTTGGCCAAAAAACCATTTGATCCTTGCTTCAGACCTCCAGCTGAGCCCAAGAGAGGACAACTGGCCCAAGTGCTATAGATTAATGTAGATTATAGGATGTAGTGACCCCAAAGTGACTGGAACTGTGGGGTTTCACCACTCCGCTACTAACGATTTCAACGAGGCACCGCCCGGAGAAGCCTGAAGGCCGAGAGGGATAGTGAGTCTCAGGCAACTAGAGGGGATAGGTAGTAACATGTAGTAACAAAGAAATCAGCGCCTTTGAGGCATCAAAATTACCATTGTTGATCGTTTATGAAATAGGTTGTCAAATGTTGTCAACATTTATCGCCTAGTAGGGATGCCTCACTTCACAAGTGTCTTTGGTTGTTGGGTATCTTCCTCACTAGCGCAATCACAAGGAACCAAGGAAGGAAGTTAGCAAGTAAAGCACGGAAATCAGTGGCGATATGGAAAGAACTACCAAACAAATGATAGAAATTAAAACAACCATGATGGTATGATGGTATTGCTACTACAATGTGTATGTGAATCTGCATCATGACTGTTCAGTTGTATCTCATACATGGGGCTATATATCATGCTGAGAAGCGTCGTATACTTTCTGATATATCATGTTGATTCATACATATTATATATATATACAGTATACATAATATTGGTATCATATTCTCTCATACATGTCTAGTATTTGATTGTTTTGTATATCTACACATTATGTACAAGGTCATCTATGTCTGTAGGGTTTCTATCAAACTACTGTACTCAGCAGGAACCAAGGAAGGAACAAAGGAACGCTGTAAAATCTGAGATCAAGTGAGAAAGCTTGACTACAGGCACATGCTGTTGAACATTCCAATATAACACAACATAACTTATAGATCTTCAAAAACAATGCACCATTGACCTTATGGCAAGAGGCTGGAAATCAGGGCTGATCCAACCGGGTATTCTATATGTAATCTACTCACGACGTATCTACAAATGTATTCATCATATCGATATCCCTATCTTATTTTTTCAATATAGACTATAGAATACTATAGACATATATAGACTATTGATCAAAAAGAAACACAACCATGCGACTGTTCCATAGATCATTGATTATTCTACAGTTTGTTCCTCGATTCCTTCAACTTAATGCCTTCACTAGTATATATTTGTACGTCAAATACCACTAAAAATCCCAAATATAGAGGCTCTATACATATATATATATATATAGATATATTTATTTATTTATACATATACGGTGATATATTAGCCTTTAATATATGTTGGTATATATTAGCCAATTCTATTGTGTTAACCGTTGAGAACTCTCAGTTTGGGATTACTGACCAGGCGGATTCAGTCACCTATGAAACAGCCAAATCCCCGTTGCAAAGAGGATGGTAATTTGGTTTGGTCATGGGGACGGCATCATCCGCAGCAATGTTCAATACCTTTGTTGGTTGATGATTGTACTGGTTTATGCTATCCAAGATATTTTTGACAACCATCAATCATCCATGACTAGAATCCCTATCAACCAACCAGTACAACGGAATGACAGAGGGCTTTGTACACTGCTGAAACAGAAATATATTTTGGAATGGACCGTAGTATTTACATAAAACGCTCTTTCCATGGAAACAGAATCACCAGGATGACTTCAAAATCTTTTGACACTCAAACTAGTTGTGGCCAAGGCCTCTGGAAAATAATTGGCACAACACTGATGATAGATTACCTCTTGGTGGAGTTTCAGTAGAAATGTGGCACTTGATTTCTCGCAATGCCTTTGGAAATGTTCGAAGCGAATGCATGGTGGTTTCGGAGGGTATAAGACTGAACGATTGTCCATCTTCCAAACTGGGATAAGAAGCAGGAGATCCCTGCCACGTTTTGGTTGGAGTTTTGGTTGGAGTTGATCGACCGCATTGCAGAACTAGTGGCGACACGTCCATTTGTTTTCGTCCACTGAGCCAACCCAAAATAGGCCCTTGCCATGCATTTTACCACAATGTTTTGATAGACTATTGGGGGAAAGTCGTTTTAGCTGACCAAGACATGACTGTACAAATCCAGCAGCCCCCGGTCTCTTCCAATGGATGAGCTGCCAACACCACTCCCCGGCCAGGATGGACAATCGAAGAGTGCTGGCACTCTTCGAACAGAGAGGTGCGATCAAATCCGGTCAGCAATCAAACCACGACACGAATGTTAAATGGGCAGATCATCCAAAATAGTTGTTGCGATGTTCAAATTGTCAGGTTTAATTATCGGAGGGTACATCCAGGAAATGTTTGGTGAGTAGGTTGTAAACCCCTGGATCCCCTTTTTAACTTTAAATCATTGGACCGCACCTCAGTTGGTAGAGTCGGAGCAATATGCATCTCATCGGGGTGATAACTTTGCAGAAACCACATCGCAATAGCAAACCCACCATACACATCCATACACCATACATACACCATATATGACTGACAGCTATTTTTTGTAAATTGAAAAGTAGTCTTGGGTCGTACCCCGGAGTTGTTGGTGGGGAAAGTGGCATCTTACTGCACCCGACTGACCTACCTATTTCATGCAAATACAACCAAACTACTGGATCTGTAAATGCCAGGGTTTGGAGTGGGTTGGAGGTTTCCATTAGGTACAATGTATTTTGTTCACTTTAAGAAACAACTGCTAATTATTGTTTCAACTGGTTTCAACGAATTATGTGTTGTATTTCCAACTAGGACTTTCGAATCTTCATACGATGCGATGCTTCCCAGTTAACTTCTGAAACCGGTGTCAGAGCTGCCTCAAGAATTGCCAGCGATCGCAAGAGGGCACGCTTTTCAGGAGCCTGAGGTCACTATTTGTTGCACAAGCATCACTAGTCTAGGTAATTAAAGCCACCTCACTGGCAGACCTCATCACAGATTATGGTCAATAAGGGAAGCCATCCCGAAAATGGCTTAGTTCGAACTTGTTTTCTCATGCGTTTAGATTACAGTAATTTGATGTAATTTGCCCAGAAGTGGTTTCACCTCAATCACTCTCGCCTCGCACATAAACAGATTTTGAGAAACACCATATATATATACATACATACATACGTATACATATATGTGCTAGCCCCCCCACCTAAGGTCCACTTTTAGATGCTCTTCCACAGACATGCATGATAAAGCTCACTGCATACTTTAATTAAGCATGCAATGAGTTTGATCATGCAAATTCTGTAAGCCATTCAAAGAACCAGTATTCCTACCAAATATAGAGCTAAACATGCAGTGTTCCTTTATGGAGAAGTGCAGTTTTCCTTTCAGAAAATCGTTCAGCCTTTGTTCAATTATGGAGTTTTTCTTTCAAAACACCAGATTCCTACACAATATGCAGTGTGTGATTAACATTGAGTATTGCTGTGAAAAAGTCCAATGGCTGATGCTCATGGCAGCATTCCTTGAAAAGGAAAGATTGTTGTTAAAGGAAGATGTTGCTCACAGATTACAATCTGCCTTGAAGACAAGATAGTCCTTTCAATGATAAATACTATTCTTGCAAGATTTTTTTAATGTGGAAAGATGAAATACATCCTTTTTATTCCCGAGAGCATCTGAGCGCAGGGTTCTTCCAATAGTGGGTGTCCGTAAAACATCTTCTCATCTTCACATCTTCTCATCTTCACACCTTCTCCTCTTCACATCTTCTCATCTTCACATCTTCTCATCTTCACATCTTCTCATCTTCACATCTTCTCATCTTCACATCTTCTCATCTTCACATTTTCTCCTCTTCACATCTTCTCATCTTCACATCTTCTCATCTTCACATCTTCTCATTCATCTTCACATCTTTTCGTCTTCACGTCTTCTCATATTCGCATCTTCTCCTCTTCACATCTTCTCACCTTTTCATCTTCACATCTTCTCATTCATCTTCACATCTTTTCATCTTCACATCTTCTCATCTTCGCATCTTCTCCTCTTCACATCTTCTCATCTTCACATCTTCTCATCTTCACATCTTCTCATCTTCACATCTTCTCCTCTTCACATCTTCTCATCTTCACATCTTCTCATCTTCACATTTTCTCCTCTTCACATCTTCTCATCTTCACATCTTCTCATCTTCACATCTTCTCATTTTCTCCTCTTCACATCTTCTCATCTTCACATTTTCTCATCTTCACATCTTCTCATCCTCACATCTTCTCATCTTCACATCTCCTCATTCCTCTTCACATCTTCTCGTCTTCACATCTTCTCATTCATCTTCACATCTTCTCATCTTCTCATCTTCACATCTTCTCATCTTCACATCTTCTCATCTTCACATTTTCTCCTCTTCACATCTTCTCATCTTCACATCTTCTCATCTTCACATCTTCTCATTCATCTTCACATCTTCTCCTCTTCGCATCTTCTCACCTTCTCATCTTCACGTCTTCTCATCTTCTCATCTTCACATCTTCTCATCTTCACATCTTCTCATCTTCACATTTTCTCCTCTTCACATCTTCTCATCTTCACATCTTCTCATCTTCACATCTTCTCATTCATCTTCACATCTTCTCCTCTTCGCATCTTCTCACCTTCTCATCTTCACGTCTTCTCATCTTCACATCATCACATCTTCTCATCTTCACACCTTCTCATCCTCACATCTTCTCATCTTCACATCTTCTCATCTTCACATCTTCTCATCTTCACATCTTCTCATTCATCTTCACATCTTCTCATCTTCACATCTTCTCATTCATCTTCACACCTTTTCATCTTCACATTGTCTCATCTTCGCATCTTCTCCTCTTCTCATCTTCACATCTTCTCATCTTCACATCTTCTCATCTTCACATCTTCTCATTCATCTTCATCTTCTCATCTTCACATCTCATTTATCTTCACATCTTTTCATCTTCACATCTTCTCATATTCGCATCTTCTCCTCTTCACATTTTCTCACCTTCTCATCTTCACATCTTCTCATTCATCTTCACATCTTCTCATCTTCACATCTTCTCATATTCGCATCTTCTCCTCTTCACATCTTCTCACCTTCTCATCTTCACATCTTCTCATTCATCTTCACATCTGTTCATCTTCACATCTTCTCATCTTCGCATCTTCTCCTCTTCACATCTTCTCATCTTCACATCTTCTCATCTTCACATTTTCTCCTCTTCACATCTTCTCATCTTCACATCTTCTCATCTTCACATCTTCTCATCTTCACATTTTCTCCTCTTCACATCTTCTCATCTTCACATCTTCTCATCTTCACATCTTCTCATCTTCACACCTTTTCATCTTCACATCTTCTCCTCTTCACATCTTCTCACCTTCTCATCTTCACCTCTTGCCCTCTTGCCCTCTTGCCCTCTTGTCCTCTTGCCCTCTTGTCCTCTTGCCCTCTTGCCCTCTTGCCCTCTTGCCTTCTCCTTCTTTTCTTTTTCTCTCTTGAAGGCGGCGGCAGGGGCAGTGGCAACGAGACGGCACGAAACGCAACCCTTTCGCACGAAATGAGAGCCAAAAACTGCGGTAAAATTGCAATTTCCGGGTGTCCGGCGCAACCCTTTCGCACGAAATGAGGTTCGATCGCCAAAAACTGCGGTAAAATTGTGATTTCCGGGTGTCCGGCGCAACCCTTTCGCACGAAATGAGATTTGATCGCCAAAAACTGAGGTAAAATTGCGATTTCAAGGTGTCCGGCGCAACCCTTTCGCACGAAATGAGGTTCGATCGCCAAAAACTGAGGTAAAATTGCGATTTCCGGGTTCCCGTTGCAACCCTTTCGCACAAAATGATGGTCGATCGCCAAAAACTGCGGTAAAATTGCGATTTCTTCTGTGTGTACAAAGCTTCTGTGTGCTGTGTGTCAAAGCTTCTGTGTGTAAAAGCATCTGTGTGTAAAAGCCTCTGTGGTGTAAAAGCGTCTCTGTGTAAAGGCGTCTGTGTGTAAAAGCGTCTGTGTGTAAAACCGTCTGTGTAAAAGCGGCTGTGTAAAAGCGTCTGTGTAAAAGCGTCTGTGTAAAAGCGTCTGTGTGTAAAAGCGTCTGTGTGTAAAGGTGTCTGTGTGTAAAAGCTTCTGTGTGTAAAAGCGTCTGTGTAAAAAGCGTCTGTGCGAAAGCTTCTGTGTAAAATCTTCTGTGTGTAAAAGCCTCTGTGTGTAAAAGCATCTGTGTGTAAAGCCGTCTGTGTGTAAAAGTTTCTGTTGTGTAAAAGCGTCTGCGTGTCAAACCGTCTGCGTGTAAAAGTGATTGTGTGTAAAAGCGCTTGTGTGTAAAACCGTCTGTGTGTAAAAGCGTCTGTGTGTAAAAGTGTTTTTGTGTAAAAGTGTTTGTGTGTAAAACCGTGTGTGTGTGTGCAAAAGCGTCTGTGTGTGAAAGCTTCTGCGTGTAAAAACGTCTGCGTGTAAAAGCTTCTGTGTGTAAAAGCGGCTGTGTGTAAAAGTGTTTGTGTCTAAAAGTGTTTGTGTGTAAAAGTGTCTGTCTGTGTGTAAAGCCGTCTGTGTGTAAAAGCGTTTGTGTGTGAAAGCTTCTGTGTGTAAAAGCGTCTGCGTGTCAAACCGTCTGCGTGTAAAAGTGATTGTGTGTAAAAGCGCTTGTGTGTAAAACCGTCTGTGTGTAAAAGCGTCTGTGTGTAAAAGTGTTTCTGTGTAAAAGTGTTTGTGTGTAAAACCGTCTGTGTGTAAAAGCGTCTGTGTGTGAAAGCTTCTGTGTATAAAAACGTCTGCGTGTAAAAGCTTCTGTGTGTAAAAGCGGCTGTGTGTAAAAGTGTTTGTGTGTAAAAGTGTCTGTGTGTAAAGCCGTCTGTGTGTAAAAGCGTTTGTGTGTAAAAGCTTCTGTGTGTAAAAGCGTCTGCGTTTGAAAGCTTCTGTGTGTAAAAGCTTCTGTGTGTAAAAGGGTCTGGGTGTAAAAGTGTCTGTGTGTAAAAGCTTCTGTGTGTAAAAGCGTCTATGTGTAAAAGCGTCTAAAAGCTTCTGTGGCTAAAAGCTTTTGTGTGTAAAAGTGTTTGTGTGTAAAAGCGTCTGTGTGTAAAAGTGTCTGTTGTGTAAAAGCGTCCGTGTGTAGAAGCGTCTGTGTGTAAAAGCGTCTGTGTGTGAAAGTGCCTGTATGTAAAAGCTTTTGTGTGTGAAAGCTTTTGTGTGTAAAAGCTTCTGTGTGTAAAAGCGTCTGTGTGTAAAAGTGT